TAACAAAAGAAAGCTAGGTTTTTTATTGGAGAAACTGTGTTTTTTCCTTCCAAGTATAAAATATTTTCCCTCTAACTGTAGCACTGCTTCTGTACCTCCAACAGTAATAATTTTTTTTTTAAACACCGTTACCACCACCAGGACTTTTTAGCGTCTGAGCAAAGGATATTCGCTTCCTTTTTTCTCGTGCCACTATAATACCCGATGTTTTCACCTTTTTCACTTCACTCTAAAGCGTCGCCGCCCTCCCGCCTCCCCTCCCTTACCCCTGTGGCATGGGGACAGCTTTTCAATTTTTGACCTCCGTATGTGTTTGACATTTTATATTGCTTCCAAGTGTCCGAAAACTTTTCTGCCTTTTGAGGTCGTGCGAGGGAAGTTAATTGCTTTCACAATCATAGGTTTCAAACATCATCACAGAGTGGTGATTATGCTCAGTTTTACAACGTGGTCGCCAAAAATAATGGTAATGTAACAGGCCGTCTGGAATTCAAAATGCAAGCTCACTGCGATATTGATTATACCAATTTCCCGGATGTACGTATTTTTTTCAGAATTTGTTTGGAGTTATTCGGACTTTGTTCAATAATTATATTTCCCTCACATATGTTACCTATACATGTTAAATTAACCAAAAACTTACTTTTGTATGCTTCGCATGCAATCTTGGCAGCTCCAAAGCTAGTGAAACTTGAGCCAAATGTTTTTGTCGGGAGCACTGCTGAGCAGCTAATCTTTTCGGCAGACTAATAAGCAGCGCTAGCTGACATGGTTGGAAAACCACTTTGTGAAATGCAGCTGACCAGTGTATTGAAGTAAACGTTGTTGATTAGCTGGTTATTCCTAGTTGCATAATTTTGTTGCTGTTGCTTCTGAAAGAAAATAGCGAAATTTAACCTGTCAGTAGAAATATTTGATGAATATTGTCAGTGAAAATATAGCAAAATACTAGGCCTGTTCGCTAGTCAGTGCGGGTATTTCATGTTACTGGAATGCTCTCACACACCGAGCATAGCTATGTCAAACAGCTATATAGGCAAAACTATAGCAAAAGTACAACTGAGTTTTGTTAGTATGTGATAAACAAGTGTAACCCGTAAATGAGACTAATTCTCCCGAAATAAATAAGAAGTATAACAAAAACACAATTAAAATGAGTTTTGGAGCTTTTACTTCCAAGGCAAACACATGGCTCTCTACATTTCGTTTCATTACAAATTGGTGCTGACTTGGGTGATATGCGGGCTCTGAAATATTCAAATGTAGAAGGAAGAAACACTTTCAAGCTAAAAAATAACTGCTAATCGGCATCCTGTTATCTGGCCTGGATACAAATGGATACAAAGTTTAGGGATGGAATGCCAGACTTTTTAAAATTTGACTGAAATTTCCTGAAGTTTTATTGCAGGATCACATGAACTGTTGTTTCCGGATGAAATCAGTTCTTTATCCACATTACATCCGATACTATCTTGCGCAAGGAGAAAGTACGCGTTTTAATTAATATCATTGGAAAAAATCTGATTATCTTCTTGACCTATGCTTATTTCTTGATTACCAAAAAATTACTGACAAATTCGTTATCATTAATCATTCGGAGCACAGGATCATCGTTAGTTAGAAAACATCGGTGATATCAAAACCATACGGACTTCACATTCTGTAATTTTTTAAAAGCTAAGAAGATGCAGCAGCAATATTTCATCTAACAGAGCATAGAATCACTGCTAATCAGCCACTGATAAGCAATCACAAAGTCATATTAGGCCATTAGTAGCTTGGTGGTCCAAAATTACTACCCTTGTCGTGTTACTTCATCACATTAGACAGTTTCAAAGTAATTTTCGTGGCTCAACAAATGTTTCTCTGTAGATGGGGTGGATCTCACGAAACTCAAAACAAATTGGCATGTACAGGATGCGAGGATCAGGATTACACCGGACGAGGATGATCGAAAGTAAGTTTAGACTTTCTAAAATTCCTCATGTTTAATAGTGTTGAAGATGAAGCATTGATTTTTCCTAACAAAATTCTAAATGCAGCTCTGAGCTATTCAATATTTTAAAAAACAATCTCAATGAAGCATGCAGCAGTTTCGTATAGCTTCTTTAATTAAGCAATCGGAAAATAGGCAGATGCTCCTTATTTTGATAAATATAGTGGTTCTTTAGAATTAAAAAAAAGACTTTTTATGCGTTTTTGCTGTGCAGCGCTATAGCAGCGCTATAGCGCTGCTACAGCCAGCAAAA